AAGTTACTTAAGTTATTAATATATGTACATATGTATGTAGATGTAGATAGTAAAATTGCTCAATCGTGCACTTTCCGGTTATATGTACATACATATGTATGCATGTGAATAAATAATAGGTGCTATTTTGCCTGCTTGTTAGCGAATTGTTGCAAAAATTTAGTTAAGTTACTTAAGTATACAGTCTTCACAACTGATTAATCATTCATAGATTCATGTAACTAAATCTCGTTGAAACRAAATCTCCACAGTAATCTGCTAACTTTAGAAGAAAACAAGCAAAAACGTTCACTGTGGTTGCACCGAGGCTATATACCCTTCACAAATTAAAAAGTATTCTGTAAAAGGCCTTCACTTTGACCGTTCTGTTTGTATGGCAGCTATAAATATAATATTATAGTGGTTCGATCTGAATAATTTGTTCGGAGCTTGTAGCGTTGCCATGAATTATAATTATGCCAAATTTGTGGTGCGTTGAAGATATCTTGCCAATAAAAAAATTTTCATACAAGCACTTGATATACATACATATATACATAGATAGATCAGTTTGTAGAATAGCTATATGTTATAGTGATTGAATTGATTATGAACAGCTTATTGGCCGAAAAAGACGTTTGGAAACTTTCAGATCGATATCTCAAAAACTGAGGTACATACATACATACATATACATATAATGACAGACAGATAGACGGACATGGCTCAATCGATTCATCGCGTCAGGTTGGTCATTTGCGTATGTAAATTTGTACATATATACATACATACGTACGTATGGACATAAATACTTTAGTGGATCTCCCATCTTTTCTTCCCGGGAAAGCTGAGCTGGTTTTTCTTAAAACAACATAATTGTTGTATGCAAACATTGGTTTCATAAAAAATATTTCAAATGTATTGCTTCGGGTAGTCACAACTCGCTTTGAATTTTCTCGATTTATGTATACATACATACATACATACATACATACATACGTATACCGAAAATGGAAGTACATAAAATTGGATTCCAATTCTAATAATATTAAATTGTTTATCTCAATATGCTTTGAATAATCGCCGACGGTAATTGAATAGAAACACAAATGCGCCGCAAATATAAACGAATTTGTAGTTGCGCAATTGTTTACATCAGCGTTGACCAAACCTCAAGCTTTTTTTCTTGTTATTCCCTTTTTTTTAGTTTTTGCAAATTGTGTTATTTTGCACTAATTAAATTATCGCCGTGGAAAACAATTCGCACATGCCCTTAGCTGTGGGTGGCTTTGTTGATCGGATCCACATGTCCACATGTATGTACATATGTATAGTAGGTAGTTTGCGCAACGTAAGGGAGGGGGCAAAAGCTCCACAACAGCTGATTGATTTTGCGGCAAATTAGTTGTGAGAATGTTCCACAACAAAAGACGGCATATTTGTGAAATGTCAATACTACAAAAAATAAGAGAATGAAAGCCTATCTTGTTGCTAATATAAAATCGAATTGTCGTGACAATCAAAATACCACATAACTGTGCTTTTGTAATAAAATTTATTTGTGTATACATACGTATACACGTGTCTTTATGTCTGCTTTCAGCGTTGGAAACAAAAATATTTCTATGTTTATTTTTGTGTGTTTACATTGATCACTTGCCGCGTAAACAAAGTGAAGAAAGCTAGTAATGTCGCGAAATCTTTTGCCGTATGGCTTTGCTCTTATAAAAACACAGCAACAATCAAAACTATTTATTATTTATTGTAATGAATATCCCTGGTCGATCAATGAGTAATGCATTCCAATCAAAAACAGGTTTTTATAATCTTATAAATTTAGCAGAAATCATAAAATTAAAGACCCAATAAATATGTTTATTACGGAAAGTGATTTTATTAGTCGCGGCGTTTCTAACAAATGTTTTCAAATCAGTCAATGAAGTTTTTCATATGTTTTTAGCTTATCTCTACTACAACCGTGTTGATTTCCGGATTACCAATTTTCCCTAGCGCCAGCCAAAGCCATACAAATTATCAATCGGCTGTAAGCATACGACCTTTCGAGGTCAAATGATAGATACGATCGTAAAACAATTTGTCGCATAATGTTTTTCGCTTAACGTATATTTTTCATGGTTTAGATTTTAAATATAAACAGCCAAATGTACATACATATGTGTGTCTAACACGCATTTGGATACATACTTATGTAAGTGTATGTATGTATGTATGTACATATGKAAGTGTAAGAACTTCAATTGCGCGCTGGAAAGGCTGCTGGAAGACAGCACCATTCAGTGGTACACTGATGGCTCAAAAACACCGGAAGGTATTGGGGCAGGTATTGCAGGACCGCCCATACCTATGGGCAGCTTCCCAAGTATCTTCCAGACTGAAGTTTTTGCCATTTGTCAGTGTGCTGAAGTCAACCTCAGCCGCAACTATCACAACCAGTGTATAGCTATTCTCAGTGATAGTCAAGCGGCACTAAAAGCGATCTCATCCTACGAGACCAAATCGAGGAATGCGTAGAACGGCTAAACCGCCTGTCCTTGTGCAACCGGGTGCACCTAAAGTAGAAGGTAATAAGAAAGCCGACGAACTGGCCCGCACTGCAGCAGCGTCAAAGATGTTGGGACCGGAGCCAYACATAGCGGTAGGACCCCACACTCTTAAAGAGCTGCTCCGCACGGAGGAGAGAGTGGAGAGAGAACGTCACTGGCGACAGGCAGCAAGTATGCGCCACGCCAAGCTGCTTCTAGGAGGATACAACCTCCCCAGATATAAAGAACTAATTCACCTCCCCCGTGAAAAATTCCGCCTCCTCGTCGCAATCTACACAGGACACTGTAAGCTGATATAGGAGAGGGCACAATAGACCTTAGGTCGCGGTGCATTACCTCAAATAATATTCTATTCTACTCTATGTAAGTGTATGGATGTATATTTATGGCTCTCTTCTCCCATCTTTAGGTGCTATCCAGCACGCGGAGCATCTGAAAGTTTTGAGGGCCTGTATCAGAAAGGTAAACTTTGCTTGCTTTGTGACATTCCAGATGTTATAATAAAAACCTTTATTATCGCCTTCAAAATAGGCACATTTTGAGCCAATAGTTAATCCAATTTTCCATTCTACAGTGCCTTCAATGAATTTTGGGGTTTTTGCCATGGAACTTGTAACGCGTTCTCAGCTGCGTTATTACGCATCTTATTTGCGTTTTTGCAAGAGATGTGGGCCTTTTTGGTACGAGCCATWGACAAGCTTCATATCAAAAATGTTGACCAAAATGTATTGAGTGGATCCATATGAGATATTAAGAACTTCTAATCTCTGATGTCAACACGACAATTTCATGCACTCTTTCATAAAAATTTTCAGTGTTATCATGTCAAGTTTTCGATGACTTCGTGACTTTCTCAACAATTAACATTTAATTACTTTTCTACTAAGCTTGTCATTTTATAAAAAATTCCAATTTCGTTATCGTCGAATTACTTGCGAACCCAATGCATCCCTCCTACAACAAAGCATTTGTTGTAAATTCGTAATTCCATATAAATTGCATTATTTGATCACAATAATAAATAATGTGAAATAAACTTACATAACATATATGTATATTTATAGCGTTGTTGATATTCAAAATAATGTATTAATTTCACTGTTTATTGTTTAAATAAATAATAAAATTCCCATGGATGACACGAGGTACGCTTTTGACTCATTTCAAAAATGTAAACATGTGCATAGGTAGGTCCATACGGGTTCTGGGCTACTCGGATGAGGAAAATTTGGCTTTTTAAGGTTCTGATATTCATACATCATTATTCCTTTATTATTAATAGCATAATTTGTTAGTATTATTAAAATATTTGCTGTATTATACATATAAATATTTACAAGTGTGGTTGTATTTTTTTTTTTTTTAGTAATGCGAAAATTCAGACTATTCCATTCAGACGCAAGTTTCTTTTGCTTCGTAAAAATGTTTTTTCTTCTACGGTCTAGAATTTTGTTCTGATGGTTTAATGGTAGTATAAAAAGATCCCTCAGTTTGTAAAGCAGCTATATGCTACAGTGATCCGATATGTTCGGAGATTGTAACGTAGTCTTCGGCAATAATATGTGCCAAATTTCGTGAAGATATCTTGTCAAATAAAAAAGTTGTCCATACAAAGAAGGATTTTGAAAGATCAGTTTTAGATCAGCTATAAGCTACAGTAGTACTGAAAAATAAGCATCTTCATTGAGTGCAAGATAAGGCATGGTAAAATCAACACACTGATCATATTAATAATTTATAAGGTCTCCGACATTCTAGGCGGCTTTTTGGCAAACTTAATATACCCTGTCAAGGATAAAAAAGTATTTCTTGAAGATCATAAAATGTATGTATTTACAGTCTGTTCTTGGCCTGATTTTTATGTAAATATATAAATAGTTGTAAGATTTATTTTTAGATCTTGCACTAAAAAARTGTGTAAATTCTGCTCAAATTTTTAGCTTTCAAAATAATGTAACAATAATTCCGTTAGAAATAAGCATACCTGTATACGTATTGTATATATTTTGTCATAAAAAATTACATGTGAAATATTATCCGGCAGTAATATAAGAAAACATATTTGGGTACAAGACCGGTGTATGATGAATATTTGYCTGGAAAATCATAACTAAATTTATAGCACAAATACATAAATGCATATCAGCATAATCACTTAAATAAGTACTCCATCAGAATGTAATTAAGAATGTGCCACCACCACATCATGGTATTCGAATATGCAGCAATCACCACACAGCTGTTTGCGTAATCGATCAATCAATCATTGTTCATTGTTTACCACAATTTCTATGTTTTTTGTACGTTTTTGCTTGCAAGTTTTTTCTTYTAAAATGCAAATTTATATTTTGCAAAGTCAAATATATTGATTAAATATGCAGCTGCAAATATTTTACATATCCGTATTAAAAACTTAAGCACTTAATCAATTAACTAATTTCACTGTTAACATTACAGCTTTCAAGTTTCAAGAAAATCTAATACGTACAATGATACAAATCGAGAACACCTACTTTGAGTTGGGACAATCGAGTCTGCGTGATTGTTTAATTATCTGTGATCGTGGCGTCATGGATGCCAGTGCTTGTAAGTATTATCAGCTGTTATCAAATTTATTTTAATTCATACATAAGTATGTGCTYGACATTACGTATGTATACTTACATATGTATATACACATATAATATATACTATATACATACGTTTTCATTCGTTTCAATGCAGATATCTCGAAAGAAAAATGGGAGAAAATGATGTCAGCGAATAACTGGAATCCTATAGAATTGCGTGATAATCGTTATCATCAGATTTTGCATTTGGTTTCCGCAGCAAATGGTGCTGAAGATTTCTACACAACTGAGGTAATGCAAATGTGCATTTTTACATAGAATATATAGTAATAAGTACTAGAGTGTGTAATTAAGTAAAAAGTGTCCTGTCATGTAGTTCGCATAATTGCATATAGTTATACAGCAGAGTGTTTTGATTTAATGTAACTGTGATGTGACTATGAGAAAAAAATTCAAGAAACCCCCTCTAAGTAACATTTTGTAAAATTAATACAAGTGAGATGGCTGAGGCAAGGTAATGAAAATTATGTTCCATTTAATTTTAATTCGACGCGAATTGGCTCATTTAAACTGCGCGCGCAAACCGACTCGAAAAATTGTTTCCTGGTGTTGTGCTTGCGAAGTTTGATCTCCATAAAATTTCACTTAGTTTTTGCATTATATATTGTCCGAARTACACAAAATTTACAATGTATGTATGTAAGTTTTGCCTTTTAGAGGGGAATTCCAAGTGCCTTCATCCATCATACTCGAGTTTTCAATTGACTAATGTTTGCTAGTTATTACATATGTACATATATGTTAAACTTTGCCTAAGAACTCATAGCTAATTCTAACGTATACGAAATTCTGAAAGACTTACTTCGCCTCTTACTAAAAATATTCTTTTATTACATAATTTTTATTCAAAAGATTTTAAAGAAGCCTTCTCAGGTAAAGTTTTCAACATTTTCAAGCTTAAAATGGTTGGAAAGCTATTGTAATAAAATATAAATGCTAGGAGACGTATTGAAAATATGTAACTGCAATATTACAGTTAGAAACTCACACAAATTAACAATTGTAAATTAATTTTTGTAAAATAAAAATATGTTTTCTATTTTAGGATCATGCCTGCCGCTCTGAAGGTGTTGATATGGCACGTGATTTAGATTACAAATCTGCAGCCGCATGGGTCGGTCATCCATATTTCGATGTCATTGATAATTCAACAAAYTTTGAAACCAAAATGAATCGCCTAATCGAGGCAGTGTGTCAGAAAGTCGGCATCGATATTGGTGATCGTCTGCTTGCCACCTCAAGAAAACTTAAATTTCTCGGTATGTTAAGCAATTTTATTTTTATAGTATATTTTTAATATTAATTTTATAAATTTTACGTTTGTCGTCAATTCACAGTCGCCACACTACCAGCCGACTCCGAATTTCCACCGTTTCAAGACTTCGATGTTGTACATCACTACTTGCAATCCTCAGGACCAAAAGTACAAGCGCGTTTRCGCAAACGTGGCCAAAAGAATCACTGGAGCTACATACACACAATACGCCGTCCCAACGTGCACGGACAGTCGCGCATCGAGGTAAAAACACAACTAACGCATCGCGATTACATGAACCTGTTAGCGCAACGCGACGATGCACATTTCACCATCTACAAGCGACGTCGCTGTTTCCTCATCAACAATCAATATTTCCAATTGGACATCTACAGAGAACCTAGCCATCCACGGTATGTTRAAATATAAAATTGATTCAATTCATTTAATTGTATTACTAAAAAATATTTTACCAAACATGCAGTTGCAAGGGACTGATCCTATTGGAAACCTACTCCTCACACTCGGGCGATGCGCTGAAAAATTATATGCCCAAATTTTTGAATATCGTCAAAGAGGTCACTGGTGATCCAGCATATTCAATGTTCAATTTGTCATTGCGCGAAGACTGGAGCACGACAAAGAAATTCTGGCACCCAATGCCCGGTAAGGAAGGCAGCAAAACTAGTGAAACCAAAACTGGAGACATTGTCGTCGATAGTGATTAATGCACTAGATGATGATRATGCCTGCTTGCTTGCTTGTTTACCCGCCTAAACTACCTAAATATTAGTATAGTATAAGTAAATTAGCAGTAATCATAATAAATTTCACATTTCACACCGCTGTAGTATACCTTTCTCTAATTGCTTGCCTATTATTATTATAATTTTAGGCATATACAGGCATATTTATATGTGCGTATGTGTGTACAGAAATATGCGTATATAATATTCATTTAAATTGTTGTATATTTGAGTAAAAAATGTTCTACTAACAACAAATGTCAGTACTGAATATTCGTAAAACCTAACATAAAACTAATAAGATGTAGAACAGAGTTTTTTAAAATTTTATTTATATACTTATAGTCAATAACAATAACACAATATAAAACACACTATTTATTTGTATTAGCTGCCATATTTAGTATGTATTTATTTCGTATTGTTCAATACAATTATTAGCAAAATGGAAAAAAATTCAGTAGTATATTTAAAATGTTTAGCAAAATACTTTGATATTAAAATGGTGACGGAATGTACTACTTACATATGTATAATGGAAACAAAAAAAAAGTAATTTTAGAACTTTTCTTCAATACTTTAGAGCACCTTCGTTACACATTCAAACGAATTAAATCTAAAAACAAAAAGAATTAAAAAATATAATTTTTTTT